AATTGTTTCTGAGAAGTCGCGGAGTTTTCATGTTTCTAATAAAATCATTTCTTTTATAAGATTATTTTTCAATCATTGACTTTTAATCTCTACTAGTCAAATTAAATTATTTGAATAAGCGGAAGAGAATTTTGGACATCAAATCGTGATAACAATATGATTATTACTCGAGTTAATCGTTGATGCGTTTCGTAATATTTTGAAACCGCAATTCATAATGTTTCAAAACTGGATTTGAACAACGTCATTAAAAAGCTGTGTCTTTTAATGGTTTCATTAGATCATTAAAACAGACGGCTCGTTGCGTTGAGAAGACGAAAGGAGTGCTGATCTTACCGCTGAGCTTATCACGGATTAGCTTGCAGCTTTCGACCTCGCCTATACTGGAGAACAGAGAACGAATCTCATCCTGTGTCATGCTCTGCGGCAAGTAGTTTACTATGAGATTCGTCTTCGACTCTTCCTGCGAGGTCTGTCCGAGGGTCGATCCTCCGTTTTGTTGTACGACTGTGTCCATTCCGTTCGCCATCATTGCAATCCTCTAACGAGTCGTCCCTAACTATGTACGAAATCTGCAAACAGAACACACACACGTTACATCACACCGTGGTCCAAACCACCGATAAATAATTGCAATTCCATAATAACAACGATTTGTATCAAAAAAGTTCTATTGTTAGATAAATATAGTAGAATAAGATATAGTACGGGATTCCTGGGTAATTATGGTACCGCGTTGGGTCTGCATATTTTCCTAAGACGTTAAAATATACTTCAAGAAGTTTCACTTTGAAAACACAGCAAATATGAGCTACATCGCAAGGTAATGGGCAAAAAACTAGACGGCACCGATGTAAACACGAAATATCGAAGGAGACGTAAAAACCAAAACAATGATGCACAAAACGTTTCTTGACGCTTGAAAACTCAAATCCAAGTGGCCTCGGGTTTTTATACAGCTTTTACCGTGAACTCGGCGAAAGAACGAATGTAAGTTAAATATAAGAAGCGGCTTTATATTGTATGAAGCAAAACTAAAGCGAATTTCAATTTTGGCTTAACAACTTGAAAAATATAATAGGTTAAGTATTAAATGTATAAGATACACGCGCGCGCGCGTGCAGTAAATGATATCGTAATTTACAATCATTTAAAAAATGCTTCTCCGTCTCTTATTCGAAAGGCTTTGTTTACCAGAGATATGCTTTGTAGTAAGTATTAGAAAAAGCGACTTATTGTTAAAGCCACGAATATTACAGACGAACAAAAAAACCTATGTAAAAAAATATGTAATACTCAAAATTCTATCATGTAAATCTGAACAATGACTTTCCAAATGCAGCACGAAAGGGACTAGCGACGGTTTTTGGGGAAACTTTGGGGTAACGTCCGATACGAACACGGGTAATTTAAAGGGGCCGACGACCCCTGTTGTCATTTAAAGGGCTGGAGACCCTCTCATCTCCAAACTACGGAGGCACAGCGAGTGTTGTATAAGCCTACATACGTGGTGTCCGAAGCATATGAAAAGTACATACAGGAGCAGTGTTCATAATCTCTCGATATATCAGGCACTTTTTTACAATATAAGTTTAATTAAACTTAACAAATTAGTTGATGCAGTAGCGAGAAGTGGCGATTAGGATCATCAACTTCCTTCAACAGCATATCTTTGTTCATCGGCACGGAAGATGAAAGAAAGAAATGCTTTCTAAAGCACTCCTTCTCTGGCATGAATAAATTATAAATTCGAGCAGGTAGCCGGCCTCATTACATCGTCTAAGCAAAGAGGCAATTAACTCTGATAATTATATCCATAATTAAGAACGAAGCGACGCTAAGATTTCACGACAAAGTTTTATTAGCGAGAAAATGTCGAGATAAATTTGTTTTTATTGAAACATATCTTTACAGCTACTCAAAAAGATATTTGTAATTCCAACCAGCTTTAGACTAAATACCCTCGAGGAAATTCTCAAGAAATATGAGATAAATTCGAATATGAAGTAAACGGCAGCGAATTGGCCAGGAGGAAACGAATTCAGGTCCTGAATACGAGACTGACAATGAGAATAATCCGGCGAGGTCTTTCGCGCGGAACACCCGGTACACGCGCGCGCGCCAGAGCGCAAAGGGAGAAACGGGAGCGAAAGAGGGAGAGACAGAGGCAGAGCGAGGAAGGGGAATTATGTATACGTGTGGCGGCTACCGTAGGGTGTCAACCGCGGTGTTCACGGTTAAGGCGAGTATACACACACACACACATACACACAGCCTGCGACGACGCGTTTATCAGTCGGCACGAGCCACCGACTCGTACATTTTTATTCTCCCCCACTTTATTTTTTTTGCGTGCGCTCCCCTCTCGCCACGCGCGTCCGTTCTCCCTTTTTCCCTCCTACGTTTAGGCATCAGCTGTCCTTCAGGACCTTCCCCGCCGGCTCGCTGCCGACTCTCGTGGTGGTCGCCACCCTAAAAACCGAGCTGTCCGCGGTGCCGCGGGGTAACAGACAGCTTTTATTACGACTGGGCCCCCCTCCCCCCAAGTTTCCGAAACGGACTGGACGGTACACGGTATACGTTTAGCCGTCGTACATACATGGAAATATATGTATGTACGGTTGCACGGGACAATGACACGTCGTACCTACATCGAATGCAGCGGTAGTTAGCGCATGGACGTGTCTCCTTAATTTACGTGAATACAAGGCCGAAATCGAGGCATTTAAGAAGTCATACACATCGGCGTGTGGAAAAACGATGGAACGAGACGGAGCACGTGCACGATAAATAGCACGTTTTACCACATACTTGTCTTCAATGAAGTATTTGAAACTAGAGCGATATTCAATACGCCAAGAACTATAATGACGGATATTCCTTAAATTCTCGACGATACAATTCTTGATATAATTCGATTTTTAAACATGAAATAACATTGAGGAATAATTTCCAATATTATCCACTTTAAATATTTGTAT